AACATTTCTCTTTCACTCTCATCATTATTTAAATGTCATTTGTTAGAAATCTCAGATCCTTAATAATTGATTTCAAGCATGAAATCATTCCTCATTAAAAAAAAAAACATAAAACGCCTTTCATTTTTTTTATTATTTGGAGATGTTTTATTGAAAAGACAATTCACTTAATGAGCGCCAATTAACTCCGCGCAAGAGGAAATTGTACGAGGTAACTTGTATTTAAAGAAACCGTTATGGAAATGGTTAAAGGAAAATGATGAAAGTTATACACTTGGGTATTGCAGGTAGAGGGAACACAGCAAATGGCCGACAACATGCAATAAAGCGTAATAGAAGTTAGAATAGAAATAGCGAATCTTTGGAAACAGAAAGAATTTGTCATTTAATGTCCGTCAGCAAGAGAAAATCATAAATGCCAGCCGTATGTGTGATGCAGGAATTATTGGTCATTTCTTTTTTCTATACGTCTGATTTGGACATTTAATGATTAGCCAGTGATAGAAAATAAAAGGCAACTGCTTGAACGGGAAAGATCAAAGAAAGGTATAAAGATATGATTAAAGGATTGAAGGCTAAATGTGGAAGAGCGTATGTAAGCATGATTTTGTTAATGGAATAAAAATGTGACGATTGAAGGAGAAAGAGAAGAGATTTGGAAGGGGAACAATAAATAATGAATTAAAATTTTTAGGGGAAGAAATAAGTAAAGGAAAATAAAGAAAATGTTGACAAATTTGGAAAGAGAAAGAAATCGGGATGAATAATAAGCCATCAACGTGAATAAACGTATATAAAAAAAGAAAGAAAAATATAGAGAAAATACTTGTTTCTAAATAATAGGGAATAAATATGTTGTAACCTAGAAAAGGTTACTGGATGAGGGACAAGCGAATCGGAGCTTAGAAATGAAATGTAATCTTATTGCATCAACAAAATAAAATACTCGCCACCGGCGTGAAGCAGGTAAACCACCGCTAGTGATGAACTACGTAGACAGACTATTTCCCTCATTACAATAGTGTCCAACGTATTTATTAGGATTGAGACATACCCATTAGTTTTAATAGTTACCATATATAACACCACCCTTTTCAGATTTACTTTGCACAGAGTCAATATATTTCATTCTCGGGTTGATGTCGATTCCTGCTGTATCCCTTATTGTCCTCTTACTTTGTCTTTTGGGATAAATATATATATATATATATATATATATATATATATATATATATATATATATGATTAAAGGGCGAATGAAAGAAAGAAAATTAAAGAATTACACTTGATTATTAAAAGAAGAGAAAAACTAATGATAAACGTGAACAAATAATATTAAAAGTCAAGATAAATACAAATTATATATAAAAAGAAAAAATGCAGGAAGTTTAACGTGGTTATTAGTGTGCAAATGTTAATGAAGGATAAAAAAGGAAGGAATAAATAAAGAGTCGGGAATAAATAAATAAATAAATAAATAAATAAATAAAGAAAGAAAGAAAGAAAGAAAGAACGAATAGTAGTAGGGGAAAAGGAAGAAAATGAACGCTATATATATATAAATACAATACTCGCCGGCAGTGTGAAGTAGGTAAACCACTGCTACTGTTGGACTACTTAGACAGCATACTATTCCCGCTTGCAATATTGTACAATGTATTTATGAAGATTGTGACATACCCATTATTGTTCATAGCTTCGGTATATAACAAAATAAACGAAGGAGAGAAAGAAAGAAACACAACAATAAAAGTAGCAATGATGACAGAAAAATAAATAGATAAATAAAGAAGAAAGATAAATGAAAAGAAGAAAGGCAATATCTATACAACAAGAAATGAAATATGAAAGTTATTGTATGCAGGATGGGATTCAGGTTGAAGACAAAAATGCAAAGTTAAACAATTAAAATTATTAGGAATGAAAAACAAAAAACCAAAAAACAAAAAAAAATGAATATAACAGAGAAAATAAAGAAGAAATAAATCCGAGTTAGTAATAGATCCAGAGCGAACGAAAGAAAGAAAATTAAAGAATTATACTTGATTATTAAAAGAAGAGAAAAACTAATGATGGACGTGAACAAATAATATTAAAAGTCAAGATAGATAAAAATTATATATAAAAAGAAAGAATGCAGGAAATTTAACGTGGTTATTAGTGTGCAAATGTTAATGAAGGATAAAAAAAGAAAGGAATAAATAAAGAGTCGGGAATAAATAATTAAACAAATAAAGAAAGAACGAAAGAAAGAAAAAAAGAAAAAAAGAACGAAAGAAAGAAAGAAAGAAAGAAAGAAAGAAAGAAAGAAAGAAAGAATAGCAGATAGGGGGAAAAGGAAGAAAATGAATTCCTCGACATGAAATGGTGCAGCAATAATGGAGGAAAGAACAATTAAAGAATTACCATTTATGAATAAAAGAAGAAAGAAAGCGAACGTTTTCAAGAAGAAATAAGCCGGGGCATAGTAATTCTCTATAACGAAGAATGTAAGATACATATTTATTCATAGTATACAATAAATCCTTTTAAATCAATCAACTATTTTTCCTACACTTTTGTTTTCTTGGGCGGAACGAATATATAAATATATTTTGTTCATTTTTGTATGAATAAACACTCTACTCTTAAGAACGGTAAAAAATTACAATAACAATTATAAGTAGATAATAATGTTTTACTAAATATAAGATGTATATTAAAGACAATTTACTTGGCATTTATTCAGCCCATTATAATAACCTAAGAGAAATAAGCACGCAATAGTTTCAAAAAGTCTCGTTCACCACGAGAACAGTGTTTGTTCGTAAAAAAACAAAACAAAACAAAAAACAAAACAAAAAAAACAAAAAAAAAAACCTTCGGTTGAAAAACATATCCGTTGAAACTTTTCACAAAAGGAAAAACAAAAAATGAAAATTCCAGTTCAAAATATTAAACTTTAGCGAAAGAGACATTCTAACTGTAGTCAGAAATTCAATTATCACAATCAAATATTTGTCCTTCTAAAAAGTCAAAAACATTAAGGTAATCAAAGATATTGTGACACTCAGATCTACTATCTTCTTTACCTCTAAATATTAACTTAATATTATTTCCTTTTCGGCTATCCCTCTTCTTTAAGATCATATAGTCTAACTTCTTTTCATGCCTAGTCCATTCTTCCTGCTAAATAAATAAATGACAAATTCTGTCTTTTCATTCGTGTGTCTAAAATCCTTAAAACTCGGGCTACACTTGCTATACATCGATATGTTATACGTTTCTTTTTAATAAGGATGGTATCGGTAATTAAAATGTGTCCTTCATCTTGACATTGGGATCGGTGTCCTGATCAGAATGGAACAGTTAAAAGTTAAAATTTTGAAAAAATTGAAAAAAAAATAACTATGAATTTAAATTAACTTTATGACTTGTTTCAAATATCTCCAATCAGTTTAAAATATCTCCAAAGCCTTGTGAATTCGGGGAATCAGTTTTATTTCTCCAAAACAAAGGAAACAGAGATAACGTAGGAGGTTTTCTGACGTGATTTGGAGAACTCAATTCAATTCCACAGAGTTTGAGATTTGAAGAATTCAATTTTCGGCCTGAATTAGAATTTCAGGCCAAATCGGTCTTTTTGTGGCAATTGGTCTTATGGCCCGAATCAGAGGTTAAGTGAGGCTTTAATGTTGCATGGAGTTAATTGAGAAATTCAGAGGTATTTCTCCAAAATTATCATTGCTGTTTTCTAAGCTGGAACAGAGGTCCCTTTAGGTTTGACCGAGAAAACAAATCAACCCTTCGCAGGCGCTAGCTTAAAAGTACACAAGGTGTATGGGTTTCATATTACTATATAATAAAGATTATATTTGTATTCTTACCTTGTCGGCGAAAAACTATTATACTCGCTGTTGTAACCTTACGTAATAAGTTAAGAAAATTTCGAAAAATTATAGTATCAAATTAACATAAAATGTTCTGATTCTAGTATACGCGAAATGCAGAATGGACAAAAATATATATTGTTGTTAATTTAATTTGATTGTTTGATTTGTTTTCTATGGCTTAAATCCCGTTTCAGGTTATTTAAAGCCAAAAATATTTTTAGAGAATAAGTAATTATTTCGGGAGATAAGAATGGTTATTGATACAAATCTTATTAATTAAACTATAGCTGAAAGATAAAGAGGTGGATTCATAACTTTACTTAACGTATTTTGGCGTAATTTAAAGTGAATATAACGAACCCAACGGGAATTGGAACTCGGCTCTCAGATTAACAATTCCCAGCCATTTTCTATTACACCCCCCATACATCCAAGCTTTACAGCACATGGTTTTTCTAAGCGGTTACCCATTAAGGCTAATTGTTAGGCCTTGCTTCACTTCGGTGATCGTATTGGAACCAATGTTTCAATGTGGCTATAAACCTGACAATTTAAGAAAAAAATAATGAATGCAACATTATATTTAGAAATGATGAGAAAAATCGAACTGAAATGTAAAAATTACGGATTTTTTGGAAAGTATTAGAAATAATCCACAATATAATTTGTTGCTGATAGAACCAGTTACCGGATCGGGTCATATCTTGTAATTAGTATATGTAGCAAAAATCAAAAATAAAGAGAAATAAAGGTGAATCGTGACAGGATATCGTCAGAAAGAAAAGTTCTGATTTGCTGTTTGATGGAGGTGAAATTAATCGTGACGCCTATGGGTGACAAGACGGACTTAGAATTGCAAAGTATGCAGGATGCCAAAAGATATTTATCTGAGCAACCCAACTTAAATTAGAAGAAAGGCCAAAACATCAAGAACACATTGTCAGTTATATCCTGGTAAATAGGATGTTTCTAAGTTAGAGTAGAAAAAGTAAAATCTTGACGGAAATTGTTGCCGAACCAGGCAAAAGAAGATATCTATATCGGCAGAGGCATTTTCCTTTCCGAAACTTTGATATCTACGTATTTCATACATTTCCTTCCAAATGTTAACACATCTGGTCTAGTGCTCTTACTATATATTTAGAGATTCTTGATAAAATCCAAAGAATATTCAGCAATGTTATTCGTCCTGACCTGATATCTCTGCTTCGGTTACATTCCGAAAGACGTAACTTAGCTTCGCTTTGCAATTTCTTTAAGTATTTTCATAGTAATTGTTCTGATGCCATTTCGTCAATGGCACCAATACTTTACAAATTTAAGTGCAGTACTAAATTGTTGGCAAGGTCTCGTCATTTTGCATTTGAAATCGCGAGATGCAACCGTAAATTCTATATTTAATAGTTTCATCTCTGGCACGTATTGCTTGTTGTACTCTCTTCCGGCTTCTTTCTTCCCGGTCAAGTTTGATCTTCAAACATTTAAATGTAAAATCAATCAGTAACGTCTGTCTTCTTATTTCATGTTCTTTTATAGTTCTCTCTCCTTAATAGAGTTTTTTCCGCATGTTTTCTAACACTTAGCAACCTCTTACGTCTTAGTGGCTTTATTACCTTTTAGGGGTTGAATGATAATAAAACAAAAACCTCTGTCACAAAGAAGTTAAACTCAAGTTATATTCCTCGTTTCTGTCTTGTTTCTTACTGGGGATTCAAATTTTTGGCAAAAAAATAGACTATATGAAATCGATATGAAGTAAATTAGTTCATCTCTCAGTGACAATAATATAGCAATGAACGCTTCAATTGGGAAAAACAAATATCTCAGCCGAATGATTATGAGTATTAATTGATAGAGTACCATCTAGTATGACGATATTGTAGCGCAGGGCACATTTAACCAGGGCGTGGTCGATGGATATTTGGGATAATTGAACATTTTTATTCGTGACGGTGATGAAGATAGACCCGAAAGGAAAGGTAAACATATAATGCTTTGTTTTTTGAAGCTGATGGAGTTATTCGACGATATGACATTACTACATCTAAGGTGCTTTATTCCAATTTTGTGTAGAGATTATTCCATTCCCTTCTCTCGAAGAAACCCACAAGAAAGGGGGGGATTGTCTTCACATATTTCCATGAATCTGGCGAGCTGCCTCTTAACGCAATTTCTTTATTAACAGAATAAGAGTGCGGTGAACGAAACAAACGCTATCTGAACTTGAATTCGACATCAAGATTAAACATTTGGTGCCACATAAATGCAACTGGCATGATGTGTTAAAATAAACCGCATTCATTAATATACAAATACACTTGAAAAAAATATGAATACATTTTTACCATCCAGCTATTGGTTAAATTACAAAACCACATAAATCTTTGCTTTACAATCTTTAAATGAGAAACAAAACTGAATTTAAAACCGGCTGAGTTGAACCCACTTCGTTAAAAAGCCTAATTTCTTCGGTAACTAAAGCTAGCGTGGTATCACTATGGGATGACTGAAGGGTGGCTGTTGCGCTAAATCCTTACTAGTACAAAGGAGGAAAGCATGTGAATTTAAATTTTGAAAAAAAAAATCGAATGTAGAAAAAGTTTGGAACTATTTTTAAGAAATCCGGTATTATGCGTATCTGGCCGTTTGGAATATACGTGTACCGACACTCAATGGATCCTTGTAATTTGAGAGAGACGTAATCATATAACTGGTACTGGTCATTATTTTTGTATGAATTCACTGGTCGATAACACTAAATTGCAGAAGGCATAAAATTTCTGGGTAAAATTGGATTACATAACGATCTACGCAAGCATATGTGCACAGAGCAGCAGTTTTGATTTGGGTTACGCGTGTTTCCTTTGCGGCCATATGTCTACAAGATAATGTGTGCAACAGCTGAGATTTACTAACGTTTCGAATGAGGTAATTGCATTTAAATTGCATTACCGTGCAATGGGAAGTTTATGAGGTTGGAAGGTCAGACTCCAGGTAAATAACATGTGTTTGTATTGAAACACCTCATAACTAAAACGACTAACCTCTCTTTTGAAAACTCTATGATATTTTGCTTGCTTTCTATGATCTAATATTCATCTGTCTATATTTCTGAGATGAGGTATTATGTACACTATTTACATTATACTGACTATTGTCGTCATTTTTGTCGCCGTATTTATTACAACTCTCCGGCAGTTGTCCGCTCCGGCCTTTTTCAGGTGGTTGGATTGTCGAACTGAAACTTTTATTTCGCTCAAAGAAACATGGCACAGAGAATAAAGGCGTTAGTTAAATCCAGTGACAGTTCAATATTCGCTTAAGGCAATGGAGAACTTGGAGAAGCGAATTAACAGGATATAACTGATAACTGGCATCCATTAGTCATGGCACGTGGAACTAGAATAGTCTGTCCCAGTGAGCGAAATAAAGGGTTCAATTCAACATTCCAACCACCTGAAGAAGGCCGGAGCGTACAATGGCCGATATGCCGTAATAAATATGGAGGCAAAATGGAGACAATAATCCGAATAATGTAAATAGTATTTCTAATATAGGGTATTTAATTTTTATTTTAGTGCTTCTTTTTATTTTTCCTTTTGTATTTCTCGTCACAATCTCTCATTCT